TAAATCGTGAAAATGTTGGAAGAGAAAGTTATCATTTTCCATTGTCGGCCCCACGCTCATGTGTTTCACCTGTGTCTCTCTGTGTCTATATGTACCTGTGTCTCTCTGTGTCTGTATGTACCTGTGTCTCTCTGTGTCTATATGTACCTGTGTCTCTGTGTCTATATGTACCTGTGTCTCTCTGTGTCTATATGTACCTGTGTCTCTCTGTGTCTATATGTACCTGTGTCTCTCTGTGTCTATATGTACCTGTGTCTCTCTGTGTCTATATGTACCTGTGTCTCTCTGTGTCTATATGTACCTGTGTCTATATGTACCTGTGTCTATATGTACCTGTGTCTCTGTGTCTATATGTACCTGTGTCTCTTTGTCTATATGTACCTGTGTCTATATGTACCTGTGTCTCTCTGTGTCTATATGTACCTGTGTCTCTCTGTGTCTATATGTACCTGTGTCTATATGTACCTGTGTCTCTGTGTCTATATGTACCTGTGTCTCTTTGTCTATATGTACCTGTGTCTATATGTACCTGTGTCTCTCTGTGTCTATATGTACCTGTGTCTCTCTGTGTCTATATGTACCTGTGTCTCTCTGTGTCTATATGTACCTGTGTCCCTCTGTGTCTATATGTACCTGTGTCTATATGTACCTGTGTCTATATGTACCTGTGTCTATATGTACCTGTGTCTATATGTACCTGTGTCTATATGTACCTGTGTCTATATGTACCTGTGTCTCTCTGTCTATATGTACCTGTGTCTCTTTGTCTATATGTACCTGTGTCTATATGTACCTGTGTCTATATGTACCTGTGTCCCTCTGTGTCTATATGTACCTGTGTCTATATGTACCTGTGTCTATATGTACCTGTGTCTCTCTGTGTCTATATGTACCGGTGTCTCTCTGTGTCTCTATGTACCTGTGTCTCTCTGTGTCTATATGTACCTGTGTCTCTCTGTGTCTATATGTACCTGTGCTCTCTGTGTCTATATGTACCTGTGTCTCTATGTACCTGTGTCTCTGTGTCTATATGTACCTGTGTCTCTGTGTCTATATGTACCTGTGTCTCTGTGTCTATATGTACCTGTGTCTCTGTGTCTATATGTACCCGTGTCTCTGTGTCTATATGTACCCGTGTCTCTGTGTCTATATGTACCCGTGTCTCTGTGTCTATATGTACCCGTGTCTCTGTGTCTATATGTACCCGTGTCTCTGTGTCTATATGTACCTGTGTCTCTTTGTCTATATGTACCTGTGTCTATATGTACCTGTGTCTCTCTGTGTCTATATGTACCTGTGTTTCTCTGTGTCTATATGTACCTGTGTCTATATGTACCTGTGTCTCTGTGTCTATATGTACCTGTGTCTCTTTGTCTATATGTACCTGTGTCTATATGTACCTGTGTCTCTCTGTGTCTATATGTACCTGTGTCTCTCTGTGTCTATATGTACCTGTGTCTATATGTACCTGTGTCTGTGTCTATATGTACCTGTGTCTCTTTGTCTATATGTACCTGTGTCTATATGTACCTGTGTCTCTCTGTGTCTATATGTACCTGTGTCTCTCTGTGTCTATATGTACCTGTGTCTCTCTGTGTCTATATGTACCTGTGTCCCTCTGTGTCTATATGTACCTGTGTCTATATGTACCTGTGTCTATATGTACCTGTGTCTATATGTACCTGTGTCTATATGTACCTGTGTCTATATGTACCTGTGTCTATATGTACCTGTGTCTCTCTGTCTATATGTACCTGTGTCTCTTTGTCTATATGTACCTGTGTCTATATGTACCTGTGTCTATATGTACCTGTGTCCCTCTGTGTCTATATGTACCTGTGTCTATATGTACCTGTGTCTATATGTACCTGTGTCTCTCTGTGTCTATATGTACCGGTGTCTCTCTGTGTCTCTATGTACCTGTGTCTCTCTGTGTCTATATGTACCTGTGTCTCTCTGTGTCTATATGTACCTGTGTCTCTCTGTGTCTATATGTACCTGTGTCTCTATGTACCTGTGTCTCTGTGTCTATATGTACCTGTGTCTCTGTGTCTATATGTACCTGTGTCTCTGTGTCTATATGTACCTGTGTCTCTGTGTCTATATGTACCCGTGTCTCTGTGTCTATATGTACCCGTGTCTCTGTGTCTATATGTACCCGTGTCTCTGTGTCTATATGTACCCGTGTCTCTGTGTCTATATGTACCCGTGTCTCTGTGTCTATATGTACCCGTGTCTCTGTGTCTATATGTACCCGTGTCTCTGTGTCTACATGTACCTGTGTCTCTGTGTCTACATGTACCTGTGTCTCTGTGTCTACATGTACCTGTGTCTCTGTGTCTACATGTACCTGTGTCTCTGTGTCTACATGTACCTGTGTCTCTGTGTCTACATGTACCTGTGTCTCTCTGTCTACATGTACCTGTGTCTACATGTACCTGTGTCTCTCTGTCTACATGTACCTGTGTCTCTGTGTCTATATGTACCTGTGTCTCTCTGTGTCTATATGTACCTGTGTCCCTCTGTGTCTATATGTACCTGTGTCCCTCTGTGTCTATATGTACCTGTGTCTCTGTGTCTATATGTACCTGTGTCTATATGTACCTGTGTCTATATGTACCTGTGTCTATATGTACCTGTGTCTATATGTACCTGTGTCTCTCTGTGTCTATATGTACCTGTGTCTCTCTGTGTCTATATGTACCTGTGTCTCTCTGTGTCTATATGTACCTGTGTCTATATGTACCTGTGTCTATATGTACCTGTGTCTCTCTGTGTCTATATGTACCTGTGTCTATATGTACCTGTGTCTCTCTGTGTCTATATGTACCTGTGTCTATATGTACCTGTGTCTATATGTACCTGTGTCTATATGTACCTGTGTCTATATGTACCTGTGTCTCTCTGTGTCTATATGTACCTGTGTCTATATGTACCTGTGTCTCTATGTACCTGTGTCCCTCTGTGTCTATATGTACCTGTGTCTATATGTACCTGTGTCCCTCTGTGTCTATATGTACCTGTGTCTCTATGTACCTGTGTCCCTCTGTGTCTATATGTACCTGTGTCTATATGTACCTGTGTCTATATGTACCTGTGTCTATATGTACCTGTGTCTATATGTACCTGTGTCTCTCTGTGTCTATATGTACCTGTGTCCCTCTGTGTCTATATGTACCTGTGTCTCTCTGTGTCTATATGTACCTGTGTCCCTCTGTGTCTATATGTACCTGTGTCTCTTTGTCTATATGTACCTGTGTCTATATGTACCTGTGTCCCTCTGTGTCTATATGTACCTGTGTCTATATGTACCTGTGTCTATATGTACCTGTGTCTCTCTGTGTCTATATGTACCTGTGTCTCTGTGTCTCTATGTACCTGTGTCTCTCTGTGTCTATATGTACCTGTGTCTCTCTGTGTCTATATGTACCTGTGTCTCTCTGTGTCTATATGTACCTGTGTCTCTCTGTGTCTATATGTACCTGTGTCTCTGTGTCTATATGTACCTGTGTCTCTCTGTGTCTATATGTACCTGTGTCTCTCTGTGTCTATATGTACCTGTGTCTCTGTGTCTATATGTACCTGTGTCTCTGTGTCTATATGTACCTGTGTCTCTCTGTGTCTATATGTACCTGTGTCTCTGTGTCTATATGTACCTGTGTCTCTGTGTCTATATGTACCCGTGTCTCTGTGTCTATATGTACCCGTGTCTCTGTGTCTATATGTACCTGTGTCTCTGTGTCTATATGTACCTGTGTCTCTGTGTCTATATGTACCCGTGTCTCTGTGTCTATATGTACCTGTGTCTCTGTGTCTACATGTACCTGTGTCTCTGTGTCTACATGTACCTGTGTCTCTCTGTGTCTATATGTACCTGTGTCTCTCTGTGTCTATATGTACCTGTGTCTCTGTGTCTACATGTACCTGTGTCTACATGTACCTGTGTCTCTCTGTCTACATGTACCTGTGTCTACATGTACCTGTGTCTCTGTGTCTATATGTACCTGTGTCTCTGTGTCTATATGTGCCCGTGTCTCTGTGTCTATATGTACCTCTGTCTCTGTGTCTACATGTACCTGTGTCTCTGTGTCTATATGTACCCGTGTCTACATGTACCTCTGTCTCTGTGTCTACATGTACCTGTGTCTCTCTGTCTACATGTACCTGTGTCTACATGTACCTGTGTCTCTCTGTCTACATGTACCTGTGTCTACATGTACCTGTGTCTCTCTGTCTACATGTACCTGTGTCTACATGTACCTGTGTCTCTCTGTCTACATGTACCTGTGTCTACATGTACCTGTGTCTCTCTGTCTACATGTACCTGTGTCTCTCTGTGTCTACATGTACCTGTGTCTACATGTACCTGTGTCTCTCTGTCTACATGTACCTGTGCTCCTCTTGTTGCTGGTCCATTGTCTTTGCTTGGATGTTGAGTTTGTTCTTTCATCTTGGACTTGTATTTATCAATAAATCATTATTTTTAATTTCCTGCATTTTGGGTCCGATCTTTTTTATATTCAAATTAATATAATCTGACGTCTTCAAGATCCTCATGACAAAGAAGCAGAATGTGTAACGTGTGAACAGTAGTTTTACAGCTGTTATATAAATAACAGTGACATTTTCTCCCTCACATACACTGTAAAAATATGAAACCGTGACATGCCCAGTGTTGTTTACGTGCTCTCCTGGTGCACACTGCAGACATGGAGGACAAACGAGGACAAACGAGGACAAACGAGGACAAACTACTCATTAGTAACTGTCAAAGCGCTTTTGCCAAAGTAAAGAGCAAAAGCGTTGGAGCTACAGTCGGGGAAAATTCCTCACTTCCACAATCACTGATAACGACCCAAGTCTGCAACATTTCTTGTGCAAAACTCTGACGAGGCAGATCCGGTACGTGCCGAGAGTGTGGAGATTTCACACACGCTCTCGACGCAAGCTTGAGCCAAAAACCAAATCTTGTCCCGATACAGGACTATTGTATGTGTAGAATGCTCCCCTGGTGTGAGGTCAGTGAGAGGGTGACCCGTGCCCAGAGAGGAGCAGGAATGTGGGGTTATGTTTTCAGGGCGGCCTTCTTTCCTTCGCTCAGGCACAGGAATAGTGCAGCGGACGGCGGTGAAACCAAGACGCTGTTATAGAGTCTGGACCGAGGGAATGAAAGTTATCTCAACAAAAGCATGTCATAAATAAAAAAATGAGTTTCTTAAATAGCGATAAATCAACTCAGAGAAATCTGTGAAGAAGCAGCCATGTTGGTTTCTCACTTTTGTTTACACTAAAAGATTAACGTTGAGAGATTGGAGAATGGAGACTTCTTTCCTTATTATGCTAAAGAAAGATTATATACTAGTCTGGTCTTATTCATCCGTACACTTCGCTCAATCATAGGGGGACCAGATTTTCAAAATGAAAAACTGGGACATTTTAATATCACTAAAAATCATATTTGCGACAAAACTAAGCAAAAATGTATTGCAGTCAAATGAAGCTTAAAAACATTTACTTGTGCCTCCTGAAGAAACTTAAACTACTGGTTGAAAACAAGACTGGTTGGCTTAAATAAACTGTGGCTGCCAAAAAAATAGCTGTACACTGAATAAAAGTACCATCCTTTTGTAGAGCGCACCTGACCGTCGTATCAATACACACTCAAAGAGTGTGTATTGACCAGACTTAAAGACCGGGGGGACAGGGCCTTCTCTGGGGCTGGACCAAAGCTCTGGATTTGGATTTGAAAAGTTATTGTTTCATTTCAGAGCAGTTGTGACTTATAAGATAAGATTGGTTTATTTATCTCACAGAGGAGAAATGTACATGTCACATTTGTCATGGATAGAACACTCAGATTGTGCAAAAGGAGGAAATGTGCAAACATGTTACATGCAGGATATATGTACAATAAAGTGACAATAATTATGTACAACAAAAGTGACAAGTGTCAATTGGAAACGGTGTCAATAGTAGTGCAGGTTTTCACACAGTGATCATTTAAAGTGACTTATTGTACAGTCTGACAGCGGTGGGGATAAAGGCCCTGCGGTAGCGCTCCTTCCTACACTGAGGGTGTCTCAGTCTTCCACTGAAGGAGCTCCTCAGCTCCTCTACAGTCCTGTGCAGTGGGTGGTATTGTTCATGATGGAGGTGGCTTTGGCTAGCACCCTCCTGTCCCTCACCTCCTCCACAGAGTCCAGGGGCCTCCTGTCCCTCACCTCCTCCACAGAGTCCAGGGGCCTCCTGTCCCTCACCTCCTCCACAGAGTCCAGGGAGCAGCCCAGAGTGGAGCTGGCCCTCCTGACCAGCTTGTTCAGTCTGTTTCTGTCCCGCTCTGTGCTGCCCGGGGCCCAGCACACGGCAGCGTAGTAAATGGCAGAAGCTACCACAGAGTCATAAAAAGTCCTGAGCAGAGGCCTGCTCACTCCGAAGGACCTCAGCCTCCTCAGAAGGACCTCAGCCTCCTCAGAAGGAAGAGGCGACTTTGGCCCTTCTTGTGCAGGGCGTTTGTATTATGGGACCAGTCCAGTTTATTGTTAATGTGAACACCCAGGTACTTGAAGCTGTCCACCAGCTCAATGTCCTCCCCCTGGATGTTCAGCAGCGTGTGGGAAAGTGTGGTTTTCTCCTGAAGTCGATGATCATCTCCTTGGTCTTACTGGTGTTCAAGCACAAGTGGTTGCGCTCACACCAGTCGACAAAGTCCTTGATAACCGACCGATATTCCAGTTGGTTCCCCTCAGACACACAGCCCACGATGGCGGAGTCGTCGGAGAACTTCTGCAGGTGACAGCTGTGTGTGTCGTGTGTGAAGTCTGAGGTGTAGATGGTGAAGAGAAACGGTGAGAGGACAGTGCCCTGAGGGGCCCCAGTGCTGCAGACGACCACCTCAGACTCACAGCTGCAGCCGCACGTACTGTGGTCGCTCTGAGAGGTAGTTGATGGTCCATGCAGTGAGGTAGTTGATGGTCCATGCAGTGAGGCTACTGTCCACTCCCGCGTCCTCCATCTTCCCCCGCAGCAGTGCCGGCCTGATGGTATTGAAAGCACTGGAGAAGTTGAAAAACATGACCCTCACAGCGCTCCCGGCGGGCTCCAGGTGGGAGAGCGTCCGCTGCAGGAAGTAGATGACGGCGTCCTCTACTCCGATGTTGGGTCTGTAGGCGAACTGCAGCGGGTCCAGGGTGGGGCTGACCACGGAGCGGAGATGGGTGAGGATGAGCCGCTCCATGGTCTTCATCAGGTGGGAGGTCAGTGCTCCATGGTCTTCATCAGGTGGGAGGTCAGTGCGACTGGTCTGTAGTGAGCCGGTTCCTTGGCGTGTGCTGTTTTTGGGACCGGGATCACACAGGAGGTCTTCCACAGGACAGGGACCTTCTCCAGGCTGAGGCTCAGGTTGTACATGTAGCTGAGGACCTCAGAGAGCTGGTCTGCACAGGTCCTCAGCAGCCTGGGACTGATCCCGTCCGGTCCTGCGGATTTCCTCAGCTTCAGGCGCTGGAGCTGACTCCTCACCTGGTCCGGTGTGATGGAGAGGGGGGGGGGACTGGGATGTACTGTCCGAGGTGGGGGCTGGGGATGCGGGGGCAGGAGGGCCCGGGGCAGCCGGAGGCAGTGTCCACTGGGCCGTGTCCACTGGGCTGGGGACGTGTGAAGAGGTGGGGGCGGGAGGGGGGGCAGAAGTCCTAATCAGCGGTGATTGGAGTCATCAGGGCATCATCAGGGCATCATCAGGGCATCATCAGGGCATCATCAGAGCAGCATCAAGGCGGCATCAGGGTATCATCAGGGCGGCATCAGGGCGGCATCAGGGCGGCATCATGGCGGCATCAGAGCGGCATCAGGGCAGCATCAGGGCATCATCAGAGCGGCATCAGGGCATCATCAGAGCAGCATCAGGGCATCATCAGGGCATCATCAGGGCAGCATCAGGGCATCATCAGAGTGGCATCAGAGCGGCATCAGGGCGGCATCAGAGCGGCATCAGGGCATCATCAGGGCATCATCAGGGCAGCATCAGGGCATCATCAGAGTGGCATCAGAGCGGCATCAGGGCGGCATCAGAGCGGCATCAGGGCATCATCAGGGCATCATCAGAGCGGCATCAGGGCATCATCAGAGCGGCATCAGGGCGGCATCAGAGCGGCATCAGGGCATCATCAGGGCAGCATCAGGGCATCATCAGAGTGGCATCAGAGCGGCATCAGGGCGGCATCAGAGCGGCATCAGAGCGGCATCAGGGCATCATCAGGGCATCATCAAAGCGGCATCAGAGCGGCATCAGGGCTGCATCAGGGCGGCATCAGGGCGGCATCAGGGCATCATCAGAGCGGCATCAGAGCGGCATCAGGGCGGCATCAGGGCATCATCAGGGCGGCATCAGGGCATCATCAGAGCAGCATCAGGGCAGCATCAGAGCGGCATCAGGGCATCATCAGGGCATCATCAGAGCGGCATCAGGGCAGCATCAGGGCATCATCAGGGCGGCATCAGAGCGGCATCAGGGCAGCATCAGGGCGGCATCAGGGCATCATCAGGGCGGCATCAGGGCAGCATCAGAGCGGCATCAGGGCAGCATCAGGGCGGCATCAGGGCATCATCAGGGCGGCATCAGAGCGGCATCAGGGCGGCATCAGGGCGGCATCAGAGCGGCATCAGAGTGGCATCAGGGCGGCATCAGGACATCATCAGGGCGGCATCAGGGCATCATCAGAGCGGCATCAGGGCAGCATCAGAGCGGCATCAGGGCAGCATCAGGGCAGCATCAGGGCATCATCAGGGCAGCATCAGGGCATCATCAGAGCGGCATCAGGGCAGCATCAGAGCGGCATCAGGGCATCAACAGGGCGGCATCAGAGCGGCATCAGGGCATCATCAGGGCAGCATCAGGGCATCATCAGAGTGGCATCAGAGCGGCATCAGGGCGGCATCAGAGCGGCATCAGAGCGGCATCAGGGCATCATCAGGGCATCATCAAAGCGGCATCAGAGCGGCATCAGAGTGGCATCAGGGCTGCATCAGGGCGGCATCAGGGCGGCATCAGGGCGGCATCAGGGCATCATCAGAGCGGCATCAGGGCGGCATCAGGACATCATCAGGGCGGCATCAGGGCATCATCAGAGCAGCATCAGGGCAGCATCAGAGCGGCATCAGGGCATCATCAGGGCATCATCAGAGCGGCATCAGGGCAGCATCAGGGCATCATCAGGGCGGCATCAGGGCAGCATCAGAGCGGCATCAGGGCAGCATCAGGGCGGCATCAGGGCATCATCAGGGCGGCATCAGGGCAGCATCAGAGCGGCATCAGGGCAGCATCAGGGCGGCATCAGGGCATCATCAGGGCGGCATCAGAGCGGCATCAGGGCGGCATCAGGGCGGCATCAGAGCGGCATCAGAGTGGCATCAGGACATCATCAGGGCGGCATCAGGGCATCATCAGAGCAGCATCAGGGCAGCATCAGGGCGGCATCAGGGCAGCATCAGGGCATCATCAGGGGCAGCAGCATCAGGGCATCATCAGAGCGGCATCAGGGCAGCATCAGAGCGGCATCAGGGCATCAACATCAGGGCCTAAGTCTCATAAGCTGGTAATATATCAAGCAGCTGCTTGTGCATTTGTGTCAAATGAATGTTATGACGTGTATTGTCTGGTATTTTTTTTTTTATGTCTGTCTGTATCCGCCCCCGCTCCTCGGGGATCCCATTTGGGAGACGACTTATGTATAGAATATCTGATCTTGCGTCAATAATCATGTGGAAAAAAGTTACTATGAGATTTATATAAATGAATTGTGTGTATTTTTCACGCATACGCTTGAGCACATGGTGAGCTTGGCTAAATAAAATAGTGACAGATCTATATAAATTTCCTTGATAAACTTAATCTTAGTTGAGTATTTGCGGAAAAAATAAAGATAAATGATTGAATATGTTTTCCACAGAGACAGAACTCACTCTGAAGGCAACTAACGCGGCATTGAGTGGGGTAGCTGAGTAACGCGCAACAATAAAACACGGTGAGAGCGCGCAATTTCCGTGGAATTTCAAATAAAAAGTCAAAATAATATAATTCACAATATGCAGACAATAGTATTCCATCTAAACAACTCACATGGTGAGAATGCCTTTGCTTTGTTGATAAAGTCTCTAGAGATTCGATATTATCAGTTTTGAGTTGGTGCTGTGCCATAGTTTTTTGCAGGGACAAAGGGAGATCAAAAGGTTGGCACCATCTGCGTGTATTGGGCTTTAGAGAACCCCAGAGTCGGGGAGTGGATCATGTGTCTGTCCCCAACACACGCACCCAGACACAGATGGCTGTGGGAGGCACGGAGCAAACGGGAGCCGGTCTGTAATTAGGGTCGGTTTTGACGCCCATCTCTCCTCCAACGAGACTCTTCACTCCTCCACGGCTTAACAGACACACACCAGAGCTACAATGCACACATTTAGTCGAGCCTACGCAACCGCTCACGCAACACAATACTCCGACCGCAACAATCCAGAGAGAAAAGAGAACATGAGGGGGTAATAGAGAACGGAAAGGCACTGGGTAGGCAAGTGTGGTGTGTAGGAATACTAGGGGTGATAATGTTTGTGTTGGGGATTCCTGAGGGTGCGCGATTTTTGTATTTTAGATTTTCTTTTAGTAAAAATGTCTATGTTCTCTGAAGTCTTAAACAATGGAAAGAGTGATGACGAGAATCAAACCCACACCCAGTCTTTTCTGTGGCTTCTTTCTGCAAATCTGTGAGTTTCAGAGAAACACACGTCCTGCTCCTTCAAGGCATGATTACTGTCTCTTTCAGTTATTGTTTATGACAGAAGATTTTGAAACGATTTTGATTGTGTACTTTTTTTGTATTTTTCTAAAATGTTTGATTGCCCAGACAATGATAAATACAAAGATAAACTGCAAATATTGTGACTTTTTCAAAGATAGATACAATCCCCCAAACTAATTCCCTCTTAGCTCTCGATGAGAGATAAAAAGCGGCACAAGCAGACTCTGCATTTTTGAGAACACATTGGTGACATGGGCTCGTTTGAAACCGCAGGCAATTTTCAATCAGCCTTTTTCACTCTAATGGAATTCATGGCCTCCTTCTCCCTTCAAACATTGTTTGGAGAGTTTTCTAGCGGCAGGCAGCTATATGGTAATTACATACGAAGCAAGTGGTAAGTTTGTGGGAGCTTGGGCGTGTATATGTTTCAGTACCGCGATAATGACATGTGCTTCAGAGAGGCCGCTGGAGGATACTGCCTGAGAGAGGCACTGGAGGATACCAGACTGAAGAGAGGCGCTGGAGGATACAGCTGCAGAAGGCGCTGGAGGATACAGCTGCAGAGAGGCACTGGAGGATACAGCTGCCGAGAAGGCGATGGAGGATACAGCCTGCAGAGAGGCGCTGGAGGGGATGACAGCTAGAAGTGAGAGCGCTGGTGGATACGCAGCGGCCAGAGAGGCACTGGTGGATACAGCTGCAGAAGAGGCGAAGGAGGATACAGCCTGCAGAGAGGCACTGGAGGATTTACGTGCAGAAGAGGCAATGGAGGATATCAGCCTGCAGGAGAGGCGCTGGAGGGATACAGCTGATAGAGGAGGCCTGAGAGGATACAGCTGCAGAGAGGCGCTGGAGGGATTTCTGGCATGCAGAGAGGCGGATGGAGGATCTGCTGCTTGAGAGGATAATGGAGGAATACAGTGCAGAGAGGCGCTGCGATGGATACAGCTGCAGAGAGGGCTGGAGGATAAGCTGCAGAGTAGGCACTGGTGACTTCGAGCTGCAGAGACGGCAGAGACTGGATGGAACAGCTGCAGAGAGGCGTGGAGGATACAGCTCTGCGAGAGGCGCACTGTTGGATTTCAGCTGCAGAAGGCCACTGGGGGAGAGTTACAGCTGCAGGAGGGCACTAGAGGATACAGCTGGTGACGGCAATGGAGGATACAGCTGCAGAGAGGCACTGGAGGATACATCTGCAGTGGGGAAGATGGGGAGGATACAGCTGAAGGAGGCCACTGGAGGATACAGCTGCAGAGAGGCATGGGAGGATACAGCTGCAGAGAGGCGTGGAGGATACAGATGCAAGAGAGGGCACTGGAGGATACAGCTGCGAGAGGCGCTGGAGGATACAGCTGCAGAGAGAATTCCAAAACAGACACAAAATAAAGCACTGGAGGATACAGCTGCTAGAGGGACTGGAGGATACAGCTGCTGAGAGGCATGGAGGATACAGCTGCGAGAGGCACTGGAGGGATTCAGCTGCAGAGAGGCGCTGGAGGATACAGCGACGTGAGGCGCTGGAGGATACAGCTGGCAGAGGGCATGGAGGATACAGCTGCAGAGAGGCTAGCTGGAGGATAAGGCTGCAGAGAGGAGCTGGAGTGAGGTACAGCTGCTTGAGAGGCGCTGGAGGATACTGCTTGCAGAAGAGGCCTGGAGGATACAGCTGCAGAGAGGCGGCTGGAGGATACGCTGCAGAGACGGCACTGAGGATACTGCCTTGCTCAGGTGGCCACTGGAGGATACAGCTGCAGAGAGTCGTGGAGGATACAGCTGCGAGAGGCACTGAGGATACAGCTGCAGAGAGGCGATGGTGGATACAGCTGCAGAGAGGCGCTGGAGGTTACAGCTGCAGAAGAGGCCAATGGAGGATACAGCTGCAGAGGCGTGGAGGATACAGCTGCAGAGAGCCGCTGGAGGATACAGATCAGAGTGGCACTGGAGGATACAGCTGCAGAGAGGCACTGGAGGATACAGCTGCAGTAGAGGCGTGGAGGATACAGCTGCAGAGAGGCACGGATGATACCAGCTGCATGAGAGGGCACTGGAGGATTACAGCTGCAGAGAGGCACACTAGAGGATACAGCTGCAGAGAGGCCCTGGAGGATATTGAGGATACAGCTGCAGAAGGCACTTGAGGATACAGCGCAGAGAGGCACTTGGAGGATACAGATGCAGAGAGGAGCTGGAGGATACAGCTGCAGAGAGTGAACTGGAGGATTCAGCTGCAGAGAGCATGGAGGATACAGCAGCAGAGAGTGCACTGGTTTATACAGCTGCAGAGAGGTGCTGGAGGGTGTACAGCTGCAGAGAAAGGCAATGGAGGATTCAGTTGCAGAGAGGCGCTGGGAGGGATTCAGCTGCAGAGAGGCACTGGTGGATCAGCTGCAGAGTAGGTGCTGGGAGGATACAGCTGCAGAGAGGCACTGAGGATACAGCGGCAGAGAGGTGCTGGAGGATACAGCTGCAGTGAGCGCAATGGAGGATACAGCTGCCAGAGAGGCGCTGGATGGATACAGCTGGCGCAGAGATGGCACTGGAGGTTGACAGCTGACGAGAGGTGCTCGGAGGATACAGCTGCAGAAGAGGCACTGGAGGTACAGCTGCAGAGAGGCAACTGGAGGATACAGCTGCCAGAGAGGCCACTGGGGATTCAGCTGCAGAGAGGACTGGAGGATACAGCTGCAGACGAGGCACTGGAGGTTACAGCGGCAGAGGAGGTGATGTGGGATACAGCTGCAGAACGAAGCACTGGAGGATACTGATGCAGAAGAGGAGCTGGAGGATACAGCATGCTCAGAGAGGCACTGGAGGATACGCTGGCAGGAGAGGTGCTGGAGGATACGCTGCAGAGAGGCACTGGAGGATACTGCTGCTGAGAGGCACTGGAGGATACAGCTGCAGAGAGGCACTGGAGGATACAGCTGCAGAGAGGCACGGAGGGATAAGCTGTGCACTGTCTGTGCTACGGCCTCTATACCACCAAACTCGGAAAGAAACTACTGACGTTACTCTGAGATCAATTTACAATCCGACACAGCTGTAAGACTGTTTTACACACCACCACTAATTACACACAGACACCTTTCGATGTATATAATCTATCTATGTATATATCAATATATATATTCTGTATATCTTAGGTATCTATCTTTTTTAAATCATAAGTCCGTCTTGTGGACTATCAATTCAAAACATTATCAAGGAAGGTGCACCACTTCTTACAAAAGACAATTACTAGTTACCTTTTTTTGTTTTATCTGTGAGGGTGAGAGATAAAGGGGCCTGAGCAGACTACAGCTACGTGCCCAACAGGCTCCTGGGCGAAGGCTCTCGAGCAGCGGAGTGCGCGCAGTGACTCCATCCATAGGACACACACGCAGACACACACAGACACACACACAAAACACTAACGCACTCACACACTTCATGCTGTGGCAGCTGTCAGGGCGGCCCGATGTCAGCAATAGCAATCAGGAGTCAGCCTACGGAGTCGGTGCTGAAAGGTGTGGCCCCAGTCTCCGTCACACACACACACTGACACACATACAACACAACACTCACTAACATATACACAACACAAACAAACACACCACAACACAAAGAAAACTAAAGACTCACACACTCACACACACACACTGGCTGTTAGGGGGACACAGGAACACAGTTACCAGGAGGAAGTTCTGTGTGCGGAGGATCCCATCTGAACAGTGCAGTGTCAGACTGTACAACATGCAGCTCTGTTCCATATGTCATGCAGTATTTACTGGGGGTGGCATTAGAATGCACGACTCATGACCAGAGCAGTGTCAGACTGTAAATCGAGCAGCGCTGTGTGGTCCGTGCTGCTAGTGTCTGTAAGCAGAGTGTATTGTGTTTTAGAAGTCCCATGTTTAGACGGAGAGACGCTGTGGAAGTAAACGCTGTTGAGTGTCGTTGCGACCTCCCGTTTCCTCAGGAGACTGTGTTCATCGGGGGGTCATTTCATCTCCCGCCAGATGAAAAAGGTTTTGAGATTTCTGCAGCATTTGATCCACCTCCCGCAAAAGACATTTGGTTATAGAGCAGTAGAACATAACAATAACCACAATGGAGGCGGCTAGCTAACTGACCAGTTAGCTTCGAGCGCTAACGGAGGAGGATTTCTTCTACTTTGTCAAAACAATAAAACTACACAAAGTCTAGATTCTGTTTGCACTTTCGCAGCTGCTGTTAAGATAAGATACAGTTACAGATCTCTGATGGAGAGTTAGTACGATCATCACAGAGAATTCTCTCTAGATGTGCTGAAATAGAACAGAGTGAGTGTTTAACATGTTAAAAAATAATTGCCTTTTGTTTGGGAGTTTAAACTGCTCAGATGAAAGTTGGTTCTAATTCGGTGATGCTTAATACGGTGGGTTGGACCGGCGCTCTCAGCGTTAACCGCCACAGCGTGTGAACCGCCACACAGCGTTTATCGGAACCAGCGTTACCGCACTCAGCAGTTATACGCACCAGCGTTAACGAGCCCAGCGTTTAACCGCCAACTGCGTTAACCGCCACAGAGGGTAAGAGACGTCATACCTCAGCTAGTTAACGCCACAGCGAGTGTAACCGTCCAAAGCGTTTAACCGCCACAGCGTTAACCCGCTCTGCGTTAACAAGTCTCAGCGAAGTTAACCGTCACCAGAGTTAACGTCAGAGTTATACGCCACAAGGTTAACGCCACAGAGTTAATCTCCACTGGTTAACCGCCACCAGCGTTAAATAAACCGCCACAGCGTTACCGCCACAGCGTTAACGCACAGGTTACCGCACAGAGTTAACCGCCACAGCGTTAACGGTTCAAAGCTGTCGGTTAAAATAAGTGAAAAAGGGGAGTGGGGAGAGTCTCTTCATTTCGATCTTTAAGACCTATTCACTCGGTGTGACGAGCGGGTCCGTCTCTACACTGTTGTGCGCCAATGTAACATGAACTCTGGGCCGATCTCATCGCCGCACACTCCACACATGCACGCACACATGCACGCACACATGCACGCACACATGCAGCACCATGCACGCACAGCACACACTTTCCCAACTCCATTAATACGTAACATCCACACCGCTATCATCTCTCCCTCTGTTACCGCTGTAGTGGCGCACAATGGTGTTTTTTTTTTTTTTCCCCCCCCCCCCCCCCCCCCCCCCCCCCCCCCCCCCCCTTCTCCCCCCCCCCCCCCCCCCCCCCCCCCCCCCCCCCCCCCCCCCCCCCCCCCCCCCCCCCCCCCCCCCTACGGAGTCAGAACTACAATTGGAGCTTATATTTACCCACACACAACATACATGTATTGATACACACACACAAATACACGTATTGTACACTCACACAATTCAAAGTATTGTACCACACACAATCATACCCGTATTGTAAACAACACACATATTACTCGTATTGTACTCACAACTTTTCATGTATTGTTAACACAACCACATAATGTATGTGTACCACACACACACATACATGAATTGTTACTCACACACCACATAAACGTATTGTACACACATACATGTATTGTTACACACACACATACACGTATTGCACATCACACAGACTATACACACTTACGTTCATGTAGTGTACACACACACCATACTTGTACTCGCACCACATGCATATACACACTTACATACGTGTTATTGCACACACACACACGTTTGGTACACACTACACGACGACACAGTGATTGTACTCACACACATATCATGTATTGTCACACACACTCATTCAGGTATTTCTACACACACAGGACAGTCTACACACATACATATTGTATTGTACCACACACATCATACATGTTTTGTACACAGACACACAGAGCTGTCTGCGCATCCATACATGTGGTGTACGGTTGCCCAACTTACTCGGGCTCGACACGTCAACAACTTATATGCACACATGCATTCATGTGCTGCTGGTCCTCACATGCTGTCCACGCGGACGTCACTCGCACGCTGATGCCCCCGTGCCGTCCATCGCCGCGTGACCAATGCGGACGCATCACTCTCACCGCTCTGGTACCGCATGCTAGGTTGATGTGTGTTGTGCGTGTCAGTGTTCAGAACGTCACATCGGTGCTCTGAACTGTGGACGTCATCTCGCCCACTTGATCACATGTGTCGCTCACTCGCGCTTGACCATGTGGACGTCACTCGCGTCTGACAGACTGTGGAAGTACACTTACATACTGCTACATGTCCATGTGGTACACGTCACTCATGCATATGCACGCTCACAGTCGTATGGACGTCACTACATTGATCCGACTGGGGTTGTACACTCGCGACGCATGACCGGTCTGTGGGACGTCATCTCTCGGTGATCTCGGAGTCCATGTGGCACGTCTTGCTAATACTACGGCTGCAGTCATGACCGCACATGTGGTCCGTGTCGCTCGATGCGTGCTGGTCCTGTGGACGTCTCGCGCTGCACTACTAGTCCACTTGTGGAAGTCATTCAGCGAGCTGCGCTCTGACCATGCGGGAGGCGGCTCGTCACTCGCTGCTCTGACCATGTGGACGTCACTCGCTGCTCTGACCATGTGGACGTCACTCGCTGCTTGACCATGTGGACGTCACTCTCTGCTCTGACCATGTGGACGTCACTCTGCTCTGACCATGTGGACGTCACTCTCTGCTCTAGACTCATGTAGGACGTCACTCGTGCTCTGACCATGTGGACGTCACTCGCTGCTCTGCCCATGTGGACGTCACTCTCTGCTCTGACCATGTGGACGTCACTCTCTGCACCTGACCATGTAGGACGTCACTCGCTGCTCTGACCATGGTGGACGTCACTCGCTGCTCTGACCATGTGGACGTCACTCTCTGCTCTGACCATGTGGACGTCACTCTATGCTCTGCCATGTGGACGTCACTCTCTGCTCTGTCCATGTGGACGTCTCTCTGCATCTGACATGTGGACGTCACTCGCTGCTCTGACCTTGTGGAGTCCCGCGCTGCTTTGACATGTGGACGTCACACTTGCTTGACCATGTGGACGTCACACTTGCTCTGACCATGTGGAGTTCACTCGCTGCTCTGACATTGTGGACGTCACTCGCTGCTCTGACCAATGTGGACGTCACTCTCTGTCTGACCATCGTGGCACGTCTCACTCGCTGACTCTGACAATGTGGACACCCTCGTTTGCTGCTAAACAGCTTTCACCCGCAGCACCGCGAATGGGGGAGATTAAAACAGCAGTTTCTGTGCGCAAAGGTGCCGAAGCTGTTGCTGGTATAGCAGTCTCGGTTCTGATCCAGTAGACTCCGGGCTGCACATGTGGAAAGTACGCAGCTGGAAATGGTGTTATTCAAAGAACGTGGACTAATTTTAAATTTCAGAGGGCCGCAGTTAGCCCGGGCCTGAGTTTGGACTCTGTCTGATCTCAGCCCTCCTGTGAGTGTGGTCTGTGGGTGTGTGTGTGTGTGACCCTGTGAGTGTGTGTGACTGTGTGTGTCTGTCTGAACTGTGAGTGGTGTGTGTGGCGTGTGTGTCATGAACCTGTGTGTGTGTGTCCTGTACCGAGTGGTGTGTGTGTCCTGACACTAGTGTGTGTTGTCCTGCACGTGTGTTGTGTGTGTGAGTGTGTGTAGGTGGTGTGTGCTGTCCGAAATGTGTGTGTAGTGTGTGTGTGTGTGTGTGTCCAGAACTGGGTAGTGTGTGAACGTGTGTCCTGATAGTGTGTGTGTGTGTATGTCCTGAACTGTGAGTGTGTGTATGTGTGTGTGTGTCTGACTGTGTGTGTGTATGTCTCCTGTGAGACTGTGAGTGTGTGTTTGTGTGTTTGTGTGTGTGTGTGTGTGTGTGTGTGTGTGTGTGTGTCCTGAACTGTGAGAGTGTGTCTGTCTGAACTGTGCGTGTGTGTATGTGTGTGTGTGTCCTGAACTGTGTGCGTGGTGTATTCCTGAACTGTGAGTGTGTGTGTTGTGTGTGTGTCCTGAACTGTGAGTGTGTGTATGTGTCCTAAACTGTCAGTTGACAGCCACACACTGGTCAGGGGTTTCCAGTGATGATCCGCAGAACTTTGTTTTTTCGCACAAATCGATCACAAAAATATTTCTGTCAAAATCTTGACCGATAGAACAAAACCAGGTCAGACTCAGAGGCATCAACATTAGTCTGATTCAGCCTGAAAACTGGGACTATTTTCACCAACAACCACTGTGTTCACCGTGTTCCCATCATTATCTTCATTATCATGATTATCAACATTATCATTATCATTCATCGCAGGCTGTTGGTGCAGCCCGGTATAACAGGCGGATATTACAAGGACCTGTGGATTCTGAGCGCGAGTAAAGCAATGTGTTTTGGTGTTGTGTGCGATTGAAACGAGTCGCTGCCGCTGAAGCTGAGGTTTATTATGGAGCGGCTCAGATCAGAGACGGCAGCAGCAGAATGAGGTCACGAGCAGCAGGGCTTTCAGGACGCAAGGATCACAATATTAAGTATTATGCCAGCGGAAGTCTGAACGGAGAAGTTTACTACAGGAACGACCCATTCGGACCCCAGTACATCATTACAGGGCCTAATCTGACATCATGATCACGGGCCCCTAATCTGTCCATCCTTATAGGGCCCTATATGTCTGTCGCATCTACCATGTGGCCCTAATCTGTCTCCAGTTACCAAGGGCCAACTAAGCTGTCTTCATTTACATGGGAGGCTCCTAATCTGTCTCAGGATTCAGAGTGCCCTGAATCTCGTCTATCCTCATTAAAGGGCACCTAGTTCTGGATCACTTACTGGGCCCTACATTCTGTATCATACATTTATGGGCCCTCATCAGGATGTCATTAAAGTGCCCTCATCTGGTGTCTTTAGAAGGGTCCTCCTCTGTGTCATCTACCGGGCCATGTATATGTTTATCATTAAGGTGCCTAATTCATGTCCTAATTACCGGGCCACTCATACTGTGTTCGTATATACCAGGTCGGCCCTAAGCTTGAGCATTACCGGGCTCTCATCTGGTCAATCCATCCCCGGGCCACTCCTCTGATGCTCCTCCTCCATCGGCCTTATCTGTCATACATCAATGGGCCTTTATCGGATCTTTCCACAACCAATAAAACAACGGGCCCTTAATCTGTCCTTCCTTATATGGGCCACTACTCTGTCTCCATATAAGAGGGCCACTAAATCTGTCTCCATTAAAGGGCCCTAATCTGTCCTCCTTAAAGGGCCCTACATCTGTTTCACTAATAACCTTGCCTCTTTTCCCATCTTCTTTACCCTGTTAACAGTAGTATCCGCGCTTATTGGCAATTTTCTAAAGTTACTTTTCCTCGCCTATAAATCTTGTTATTGATTTTCACATATTCGATGTCCCGCCCTCCCACGTTTAACCATTCAGACAGGTCTGTGCTTCGGGCGCCCGAATACATCACCACGTGGAGCTCATCTCACTGGGAAAGTACCATGTGGCACCGCTAACTAAAACCGGTTCTCGTTCTGATTCTCAAATCATTATCGACAAAACAAGGAATAAAACAGCGGCATTCCTTCTTTGTGAAATGGTGTTAGGTTATCGATTTGTATTGTTGACACACCTCTTGTCCTATTCAGCTGTTATTGGTCCAGCTGGATATCGTCTGATTATCAGGGGCATCCTGAGTCAGGGCGCGTGGGCGACGGCTGCAGTACCACTTTTGGCCACATGTTTTACACCCTGCTCCTTTAAGCACACACTAACTCACTTGATTACCACCAAGATTGTACAAACTCCAAATAATTAGCCTCATTTCCTAATCCCATCAGTCACGGTTTTGTCCACTGAGATTTTTTAAAATGGTAGAAACACAGACATACTGTAACGTGCTACATCTATGGCTCTGATGAAAAGGTACAGCAAAGACAATGAACATGCATCTCCTTAGCGCTTCCATTACGCACCAGGAAGGAAATGTAACCCACATGGTATCGTGTGTAGAACAGGGTGGAACTATGCCAATGTAGAAGACAATAGGTCTATATATGAATCCATTCACAGAGACCATAGAGAGACCAGAGAGACCAGAGAGACAGAGCGAGACCCAGAGAGAGACCAGTGAGAGACCAGAGAGAGCCAGAGAGCGACCAGAGAGAGACCAGGGGGAGACCCGAGAGGGACAGAGAGAGAGACCCAGAGAGAGACCAGAGAGAGAGACCAGAGAGAGACCAGAGAGAGACCAGAGAGAGAGACCAGAGAGAGACCAGAGAGAGACCAGAGAGAGACCAGAGAGAGACCAGAGAGAGACCAGAGAGAGACCAGAGAGAGACCAGAGAGAGAGACCAGAGAGAGACCAGAGAGAGACCAGAGAGAGAGACCAGAGAGAGACCAGAGAGAGAGACCAGAGAGAGACCAGAGAGAGACCAGAGAGAGACCAGAGAGAGAGACCAGAGAGAGACCAGAGAGAGACCAGAGAGAGACCAGAGAGAGACCAGAGAGAGACCAGAGAGAGACCAGAGAGAGACCAGAGAGAGACCAGAGAGAGACCAGAGAGAGAGACCAGAGAGAGACCAGAGAGAGACCAGAGAGAGACCAGAGAGAGACCAGAGAGAGAGACCAGAGAGAGACCAGAGAGAGACCAGAGAGAGAGACCAGAGAGAGACCAGAGAGAGACCAGAGAGAGACCAGAGAGAGAGACCAGAGAGAGACCAGAGAGAGACCAGAGAGAGACCAGAGAGAGACCAGAGAGAGACCAGAGAGAGACCAGAGAGAGACCAGAGAGAGACCAGAGAGAGAGACCAGAGAGAGACCAGAGAGAGAGACCAGAGAGAGACCAGAGAGAGAGACCAGAGAGAGACCAGAGAGAGACCAGAGAGAGACCAGAGAGAGAGACCAGAGAGAGACCAGAGAGAGACCAGAGAGAGAGACCAGAGAGAGACCAGAGAGAGACCAGAGAGAGACCAGAGAGAGACCAGAGAGAGACCAGAGAGAGACCAGAGAGAGACCAGAGAGAGACCAGAGAGAGACCAGAGAGAGACCAGAGAGAGACCAGAGAGAGACCAGAGAGAGACCAGAGAGAGACCAGAGAGAGACCAGAGAGAGAGACCAGAGAGAGACCAGAGAGAGACCAGAGAGAGACCAGAGAGAGACCAGAGAGAGACCAGAGAGAGACCAGAGAGAGACCAGAGAGAGACCAGAGAGAGACCAGAGAGAGACCAGAG